GGAGGGAGGAAGAGGAAAGAAAAGTTAAGTAAAGTAAAAAAAGGAGGCTCAGTTGTGCTCAGGTCTGAGAGGCAAGTAGAGAGGGAGAGGTGAGCAGGAGAATGATGAGATTTTATTTCCTTTAGGTATAATTTTCACTATACCAAAGCTTACTTCTCGTCAAATTTGTGCAAATGCCTGTCATGTACTGTGCCCACCCTTTTTTGCCTTGTAAGGCATTTGGAATATTGGGATATCGGAATACCCCCAGCCATTCCAAGGGAGCTTGGAGATCAGTCATTCACTCCTCGAATTGCAGATAAACAAGGGTGTCTCCAGGTGTGATCCGCAGGCCCTCAGGCCCTTCACTACTTGAATAACTTGAGTTGTTTATTTAAAATGCATATTTCTGAGACCCACCTCAGATCTACTGAATCAGAACCATTAGACTTAAGGCCTAGGAAACCTGCATTTAAACTTGCTCCTGTGCTGCCTTTTCTACACTGAAGTTTGCAAGTACTGGGTCTTTTCTGGGATGCTTTTATTTGAAAACCTTTTTCTCAGCCCTAGAGTAAAAGGCTTTGGCAACCATCAGGTAATTCATTACAAAGTAGCAACGATTAAGAAAGAGAGTGAATTCAAGGTTTGGGTCATGCTAGAGGCTCCAGAATTGTAAAGGAGCTTGGGGGCAGCAGTCTGGTTAGAGGCTATTGTCCAGAGGATTTGAATTAGACCTGATTAAACATACAAGCATCATTCTGTCTTCGATTGTTTTGTCGGTTTGTGTGGAGTGGCTGAAGGAGGAAGAGAACTGTGGGAGATAGGAGGGGGCTAAAGCCATTGCAAGCACCTTCTGGGGCCATCACTGATTATCGCAGGACAAAGGTCCCCACAGCTCTCTTTTCATTCTGTGGAGCAGCTTGTGGCCCTGGAGCAGAAGGTTTGTGCATTAGGCGGTGGGGCAAAGGTTCTGAGCCACGGCCAGCCTCGTGGGTGGGCACCCACATGGGTGGGCCCCACTCTGTCCCCAGGCTGCATTGACTCACCCGACTACCTGCTTCTTTCCCCACTGGAGAAGGCTGATGCAGTCTGCACAGGGGTCGGTCTCCACACTCTCCCAGCTGGACACACATCTCCGCCACTCTCTGCCTGTCTTTTGCCTGTGCAGGTGTTTCTGGGAAGAACAGGAAGTTCAGGGATGGTGGAAAATATTTGGCAGATCCCCTGAGCCCAGAGCCAGGGCACCTGCCCCGCTGAAGGGCAGAGAGGGCTGGGAACTAAAGCGAAGGGGCACCAGAGGGGTGGGGGCAAAGACAGGATGCAGTGCTAAGGGCACAAAAAACACCTCTTGTCAGGCGACTCCCCTGTGTAATATCACCTGTCTGCAAAAGTACCTGTTCTCAAACTTCAGTGTGTATTAGATATTACTAAAAATCAATATTGCTAAAAATGCAGATTCCAAAATACTACCCCAGAAATTCTGGTTGAGTAAGTCTGGGGTGAGGTCCAGGAATGAGTCTTTAACAAGCTCTGGGGACTTTGAGGCAAGTGGTCCCTGGATCCCACAGTGGGCTTCCAGGTAATCGGGGTTTCCCTCCAACCTCCTCTGCTTGCTTCAGGAAGGGTCCTGGGCAGGAGGAAATGAGTGGGAGGCAGAGAGAATGAAGAGCAGCTTTTCCTGAAGCATGTGGCAATCACATGCCTGAAGCCTGATGAGCTAGTCACTCGCCTGCTAATCCCTGAACTTGCTTTGTTCATAAATTGGACACTCATGCTATATTACTCTGGAAAATTAAAAGGACTCAAATGCATATGACTGGGGAAATGCATATGCTTTGATGTTACAGGTTAAGTTTCTCAATTTGGAGATAAAGTTTTTCATTTCTGCTCTCATGAAAATAGAAATATAACAATTGAATGCTAAATAATG